GTGTGTGTGTGTGTGTGTGTGTGTGTGTGTGTGTGTGTGTGTGTGTGAACCTGAACACAGTGTTTGATTAGAGTGGACAAATAAAAGATCCGGTTCATCATCCTTGATATTGTTTTCACCATGATCGGAACTACCTGTCGAAATGTGTATTTCAACAAGAGACCAAAATCAGGTTCAACAAAGTGAAACAATCAAATTAAATGTATTTGATTAGCTGATTTTTTTCGCTCTCTCTCCTTTTTTGCCGGTCTGAAAGGTCAATTAATGAATGAAATTGATCGTTTATCACTCGATTACAATGCGAAGGAAGTGAAGCCGTTAGAAAAATCTGGCATAATAAAAATTAAGCAATATGCTACTGTTTTGTCGGAAGAAGGATGAGAAAAAATCCGATCAAAATGTAATAAAAAAAAAGAAATGAGACACGAAACAGCGACCACAAAGAGCAGCAACAGCAGCTTGCTTCCTTTCTTAAGTCTTGATTTTGGTTTTTGATCGTGGATTTTTGGTCGTGCACCGTGTTTCGTTGCTACATTATGAATTTCAATAGAGCAGACTCGAAACACACATTGCTCTACATACTCTTTGCACTTTGCCTTATTCCGAATTTCCGATACACTTGCATCCTGTTCAGTGTAAAAATGCCGTGCCTTTCGTCTTCCATATTCATTTGTGCACGGTGTTGCTTTCCGTTTTTCCACCAAAACGAATTTATGTATATCGGAGTGTATTTGATTTTGAGACATCTGCTATGCGATGGTGCACATTATTTGGTGGTATAGTATGGTATAGTGCATATCGGTGAATATGTTTACATTTTGATTTTGTTCGATTTTGGGTGTAGATTGGGATTTCTTTTTATTTATTGTATTCCGTTAAGACTGTTTTTGTCTTTTCATTCGGGAAAATATTTTTAGGCATGCAACATATTTTATTAGAGAAACTATGCGAACAATGTGCAAGCTACACAGAGCCCAAAGAATGGTTGTGTATGAATATGCATTTAAAGGCAACGACAATTTTTGTTGGATATTCGATATGTTGTGCGCTTGGTGTGCGATGAATTTCAGGTTCCTATGAATCTGTCCGTCTCTTTCTTTTCGCCTTCACCATCGATTTAGTTCGTGCAAAACAGCAGATGAACACATCTTTTTACGAGAAAAATTCATTTCCTCTTTTTTTCACAAATATTATTTTACATATATTTGTGTGCTCATGTTCCAGATACTCACGTTGCTCAAAAGGTGGAAGTGCTTCTTCTGCTGTTTTTTTTTTCTTCTTCTTTTTTCATTATTATTATTGCTCCACTTCATCGTTCTCGAGTGTTTTATTCTTTGTTCTTTCAGCTTCTCGTATTTTTGATAATCGTTTACAATAGATGATTTTCGAATCGAACGAGAGACAGGGAAAGAGAGAGCATAGAAAAGGTAAATAAAAGCAACAGGCATTCGTCAACAATGCATTACCGGTTACCGGAAATAAATGTGTGGGAAGTGATGACGATAAAGTCAGCAAAGTAGCGCAGAATACAGAGATGAGAGGGAAAAAAGGAAGGACATGTTATTTGCAAAAGATACTGAGTGGTGAATTGCATTATACACATTTACAAAATTAATTTGTAGTTATATGAGTTCGAGATGTGATACTTAAAACCGAAATAATCGTCATTTACGCAACGATATGATGTTTGGTCACGCACGTCATTTCTTTCAATAATTACAAATGCCCAATTCACTTTTCAGCGTAACAAATAACTAAGGCTGCAAACACTGATTATTGCCGAAAAATAAAATAAAAATTGACTGCCGTTTTATTTTAAAAACAGTGCCGTAAATTTGGATACGTTTTTGGCATGCACGGTGTGTGTATATGTGTTTTTTTTTTCTGGCCGTACATCTGCTAGGGCATTTATTTTTTTGAAAACATCTTGTTTCAAAAGTGATGTGTATTGTTGTTGTGTGTGTATTTTTTTCGGGTGTTTTCTATCATCGCTTAACATTGTGCGCGCATGTGAATATCCATGGTATTAGTTTTGTTATCACAGCAACTAAAACCAAAAGTGCACGAATTCTATATACAATGTAAGCCACGAGTAAATGAATACAACGTTTGCAGCCCGGTTTTCATTTACAAAAAGCAATAAAGCAATCGTTCAATATGCATATGCACATTGAAAAGAGAACAAATGACAGAAAAGAGAAAGAAAGAAAGAAAAAAAAAATGTACGAACAGCGATTATAAGGCAAATGCACATACACACAACGTCGATGCATATGCTGATTTGTGAGTTTTTTGTGCTCATTTTTGTACACCTAACCGAATAACAAAGAGCGAACACAATACACGTCCAAATCGAAATCCATCCATATATATGAGTGGAAAAAAGCCTTTCCACCGCTTTGCTTCATTCATTTTCGATGTGCAGCAGGTGTTGTTGTCAATAATAACAACACACACATATATGCACACCGTGTTTATGTTTCGCTCTGCTTTTTTTGGGCTCATTGGTTTGATTTGTTTTATTTTCTTCTCTTGATCAATGTGCTCTGTTTTGGGCATAGTTTTTTTGTTTGGTTTTAACTTTTGATTGGCCATGTGCCAATGAGATACAACCATAAATACGAAACTTCTTTTTTAGAACTCCAGTACTAATTACTGTTTAAGCGGATTTCCGCGAGCAAATCCATTGCAACGACGGATTTCCGCCGATTTTATAGCTCTAGATTTCGCAAGGAATAAACGAACCTGAATCATTTGATTTATGACTTTTGGTTTCATTTTGCGTTCAAATATTCACAAACTTATTTAGTATTGGCATTAAATGCGGAAGAATTTGTAGAAATCCATA